ACTGAGATCTTCAGCTGAGCTAAATTAATGTTCTGCACAGCTGAAGTCGGTAGGAGAAGATGGCTCAGAGCCACATTTCTGCTCCCCCACTCCTGAATTGGCTAGAAACCAAAAAAGCCCCCATGACTATAATAGAACTGCCTTATTACTAGCCTAAATAGCATGGGCTACTTAGTCCTAGTAGGAGCACTGTACAGTGCACATCAAAATGTGGTGAAGTGGAATACTCCCAGCTGTAACTCAGAGCTGCCTCTATAGCCCTTGGGGATTTGACTACACCCACAGTGAAAGATTCTTCACTGACCTCATGGGTGAGCTTTCTGACTGCCTTGTCAGCAGTGCAAAACATCTAGAGCATGGGCCACTGGTCTGGTCTCTATAGGTCACCTATACTACCTGCACACACCAGCTACCACAACTTTTCCTGTTCAAAGTTATATGACAGGCATGTGGCACACTACTCAGTGAGGTTGAAAGACATGTCATAAGCTGCTGCTTCAGCTAGCTCTCTGACACCACGCCAGATCTGTCATGACTTCTGTTAGCCTAAGAAGTACACCACATAGCAGCGCTATTTCGCTAGTGGGTAAACATTACCCACTCATTAATGGTCATTCATATATGGTGTTCTAAGCAATTTAATAACACCAAATGATAATCTTCTACAGCACCTTTCAGAAATAAATCATGGAGTTCAACAATATAAATGGGAAAGCTCAGAGGGATTCAATTATATCTCCAAGATCATCCAGTGTCATAGCCAGGAACAAAATTTACGTTTATTGAATAAATTCAGTCCACTGTTCTCTGTTAGGCACACTCTTGCTTTGCTTCTGTTCATTTGTGCTTTGATAAGTTATTAAGGAGAAAACCCTCTTCTTCCTCATGAATCACAAACAGATTTCATGATTTCAACAGATTTTATAATCTCTTCTCCCCTCAGTAGTAGTATGGCTTGATTCCATACAGATGGGACATTGTAATCTCCCCACTTCTGATAACAGAGCAGTTACTGTCACAGACCTGGATCTCATGATACTGTGCCAGTTATATTGATCTGTATGGGGAAGCATGTCTATTATGCCTGTTACCCCAAATCTTCAAAAGATTTTTTTTCCTAACCAAAATCCAAGCTTTGTAAATAGGACATTCAGGGAGGACTCTATATTGCTGCCATTAATAAATCACCTAATGTCTCTATTCTTAGCGGTTAAACAGGCATCTTTTCTCTCTGCAGACACTGTGAAGTCTTCAGCATAAGAATTGCCGTTATTGCATTGTACAAAACCAGCCCAGTTTCAGGTTCTAGAATTGTTTCAGTCAGCGACTAATGACTAACCCGTTACAGGTAGATGTATATGTCTGTTGATGTGCACATAAACCCTGGCACTTTGTGCTGTTCCCTTCACCTGGCATAGGTTCACAAGCTACATTAAGGCACACTGCTTCTGAAATCTCACTTCGTTCAATTTGTTTCCCATCATTGATATCAGGCCTACTATTAATATGGCTTCCATTTAATACATTTAAAATAAAAAGACCCAGAAACCAAAATCTACAGCAGGTCAGCACCATGAATTTTGCAGACTCTTCATGCGTATGTTCTACAAAGCACAATTTCTCTTTCACTTTGTTTTCTGTCTGAGTGCCTTTAATTATTTGCAGAGAGCTCAATTCTGGATCTCTTATTTATGCAAACAGTCCTATTTTATTTAGACAAGTCTTCTTTCATGACTAAAGATACAGAGGTTCATTTTTATATCTTGAGGAGAGATTCTACAGCTTTTTTTCCAATGGAACTTCTCTTGAAGTTCATGGGATGGCCAAGGAGAATAAAGATTTTCTGAACCATTCCAGCAAGCTTCCTATTAGTGGGGCAAGGATGGCGTTCAGTGAGCCTCTAAATAGAAAAGACTTATGATTTTATTCCCCTTGACTTTTATTTTTATACAAAGCACTGTGTACTCTCAGGCTGCTATAAACACATACAAAACCCCACTGATTCCACTTAAACTCAGGCAGACAGACTGACATCAGACTGTTATCAGTACAATAAAATTACAAAACTATTCTGAGCCTGATCCAAGATCCAACAGCACCTGTGACAACACTTCCATTCACTTAACTATGTTTTGTATCAAGATACTAGGCTATAGGGATATAATGTAAATGTCTGTACAATCTGGCACCATGCGAGCACATTTCTGTAAGTTTCCTGGTAACATGATGTGTCCTCCTTGACTGGAAAGTTATGCTAGTGAGCTATTGCTTTTCTACTCTCCTGTATTCTTGTTTGAGGAAACAGTGAGTATTGTCTTATTGTAGCTTGGCTTTTCCCTTGTCTGTATTTGTCATCATCATTTCTTTAAGCTCTTCAGGCTAATGAGCTAGCACTATGGTCATCAGAGGGTAGTTAAGGGAATAAAAAGTTTCTCATACAGTGTCTATGTTCTTTGTCTTAATGTATTTTTTTAAATTGCCCTACTACTGAAACAGTACACTTGCCATATTTGGCCATAGGTTTGAGTAATGCTCTTAGTTGTGGTAGATTTAAAAAAAAAAAAATACTATGAAGAGGTAACAAATAATTGGCTCAAATCAATCTGAGTAATAACCAGAAGATTTTTGGAATTATCTGGGAGTGGGGCATTTTGGCCATTTGTTAAATGTTTTAACTCTTCATTGCTCATTATAGCTGACATTTTTTGTATCATGCCTATCACCATGGCACCAAAATACTTCAGAAATTTAGTGAGAATCAAATCATGCATATTACTGATACCCCACTGATTTCAAATGAAGCAAATTTATACTAATTCCTAATTTTCTCTGACACTGTGATAAGTCCAAAAGTGAAACGCTTTGTCCTGTATTCTTTCTGTCACAGAACATTTGCTAACTTCAGGAGAAAGCTAGAGAAATACAGGTTTGAAGATCAAACTGGTATCATACGACTTCGCTAAATATAGATGCTTGATGAGTGATAGAGCTTCAAAGGTCTTGGCATATTTTGCTTGGTGCGCTTCTAAATCTGCAGGTATGCAGACTACTTCTCTCAGTACATAACAGATCTTAATATCACAAATATGAAAATTAATAAAATAGAAAATATCTTGACAGGCGTTATGAATGTACCCCTTCTGAATTTCTTAACGTACAAGTGCAGCAGGATATGCCTAATCTGCAATATTTTCACTGTCATTTCACAAATCTGCCACTGATGGGTACTCTGAGGACAGGAAGCACAGTGTTTTAATATTCTCCTAACCTGTGTGCAGCATTGGAATGAAATTGTCGTTGTTAAGAAAGCCTTCTCCGTAAAATGACATTGCAGTGTGTGCAGCACTGCACAAGCAGAAAGACAAAGGCGGTTAAACAACAAAAATATACTATTAGTGAATTGAAATAGAACAGGAATATTTAAAGAGCTCCTCTCACCCATTTCCCCTGTCTAAAGACCATTTCTATTGAAAAACGGCTTTGAAAGGAACTGACTGTGCTTGTACATTTCACCTTGCAATACTGCCCAGGATCCTGGGACCTTTAACGCACTACGTGCTGTCAGTACTATGACAGTTTACAGATGTGCAGCCAGGCTTCTTGCTATTTATAGATGCCTCTTCTGCAAACAGTACTCTATGGGGTTGTAATGCAGTAGCAGGCATGTTATTTGATTTAGTGCTTACATCACATTTAAGAAAATTTGCTCTTCACCTGTCATGGCAAAGGAGGCATATTTATGAAGGTCAGGCAGAGAGAGCACTATTAGGAAGAGAAATGTGGAACACATGAGGGAGCAGGACACCTACTGGGAGGATTATCTGAAAGGAGGAGACATTTGGCAGGCACATTGAAAGAATAGAGGAGGGAATAGTCATGTGCTCACTCACACTGAAGTGATGCTTTTGTTCTATATTACCTCTGCAGGGCAACTGGGGAGGGGGGTCAGTGCTGCCCGTGCATGTTGAAGTTGGTTGGGGTGCAACGGCCTTGGGGGTCTGTACGTGGCTGTGCTGCATATCGCTTAACCATGTGTTAAGTGTTCAGTCAGAGTGCTAGGCACAGTCTATTAATAGAAACAGGGAGTTTCGCACACGCTCGCGCTTTCTCCCGTCTCCTTCTCACATGCTCCCAGACAAGCTGGGACTGCACCCTGCATCCTTCTGCTTTTCCAGATCTGAGACTTCGCATACTGCTGTATCCCTTGAGAAGTCTCAGTGAGGTCAAGACAACCCTAGACAAGTAAACAAGGGCTGCTCAACCCCAATGTTGCTGAGATGGGAAAGGCTGAGGAAACCGAAGGTAATTGGGGGCGGGGGGGAGGGGGCAGATTTGTAGAAAACCTGAGAGCTCGCAGGGTACCCTCTCGGCCCAAAGGCAACGTAAAGCTATTCTCGGCACTGCTCAGGCCAGCCGGGCGCAAGGAGGAATGCTCCTCCTGCGCCTCGGGCAGCTCCGCTTGGTAATACGCAGAAGGCTGCAGAGAGACGGATACTGCTGAAGTCCCCCAAACAATCCTAGCAAAGGTTCCACGGCGTTCTGCCAGGCGAAAAGCACTCAGAGCTGGCCATGGTGCTGTCGCGAGGGTCCGTCTTCGTCCCTTTCAGCCTTCTCAAACACACAAATAACCGCCCCTCTTCCTTGCCGCCGCACACACCTCCGCTTCTCTCCTCCCAGGCTCCCGTACCCCGCGCGGAGCCCCACCGCCGCCCGGCCCACCCAACTTCTCCGGGAAGCAGCCGTCAGGCGGCGGCTCCCGGTAGGGCGGCGGCTTCCGGGAAGCAGCCGGAGCGACAGGAGGGTTCAGCGGGGTTCAGCGGGGTGCAAAGTTCTCTGCCTACGGGGAACGGGGGGGCATGCAGGAAATCACACCAGCAACGGGGGCAGGAGCCAGCCGAAGGAGCCAGGAAAGTTTATCTGCACTTACTGCTGCTTCTGCCAAGGGGTCTATGCTCGGGGCTGGGGGAGCTCGGGCGCCGGGCTCTGCCGCGCATCCTTACCTCGGTGCTGTCGGCAGCGTTCTCCGCCATTTTCCTCCTCAGGAGCAGACAGCGGGAGGAGTGTTTCATTCCCATAAGAGCTAGCCAAGGGGTTGGGGCTTCGGGGTGTTTTGTTTTGTGTTTTCAAAGATCTCCAAACACTGGTGTGCGCCGAAGAATAGGGAGAAAAAAAATTACGGAGAACAGCAATAAATCAGTCAGCTTTGTCCTTTCTGCGTCGTCCACGGGAATGTTTGTCTCCTCTTAGCATCGGGAGCTCCTCGGGCACTTTCAAGTCCTCCTCTTTCTCCCCTCTCTTCCACCTCCAGAGAGCTCTTGGGAGAGAGGCGGCACACACTCTTCAGGTTAAACTGAAAGGCTGTTGGGCTGCGAGTCCTCCCCTTCAGAGAAAGCAGTCGGGCTAAACAGGAGAGAAGCACCAGCTAATCTGAACTTGGGCGTGCAGTGACCAGCTGGGCATCTTTGTGTCCTGTGGCTACTCTTCCAGAGGCAGAGGGAGCCAGAGACAAAGCAACAGGACAAGGAAATCATAGCCCTTTATTTTCCTTCTTTGGGCTTCTTTCTTTCTCTCTAGGTCCCAGGAAACTTCCTTTAAAGATGGTCACAGAATTTGCCACCCTCTTTCTATGAATGTCTTCTGAAATGGCAATCCCTCCTCCTTCTCCCTCCTCCTCCTCCTCCTCCTCCTCTCCCCCCCTTCCCCCCTCCTCCCAGCTTGGTGCCCTTCTCTGGGAATTGCATTCACGTGTCTTTCGTAGAAAAAAACCCATTATATCAAGCTCCCCCCACCCGTCGCCTACACCCTCTCACACACAAGCACGCATTCACACGTGTGCACACACACGTTGTCTCCCCCTCACACAGGCATGCACATTTTTTTTTCTTTCCCATCCCTCCTCTTCTTTTGAATCAGCAACATTTTTCTTTGCAAGGACTCTCGGCAAGGCTCTTAGAGGGCAACCGAAGAAGCCTGCTCCAGCTTCTTTCCTCCGAGTTAAGTGGCAAACCTGCTTTCTTAATATACCTTCTCGTGTGTGTGC